TGTGTTTATGGGCTTGTGGATAAACTTGTTGCTACTCAATTGCTAAAATCATGACTTATTAAAAGCTAATCACATTTCAACAATTGTCAGCCTTTTGAGCCTCATGAACCCCATGTTATATTTGTTGAGTACGATATGTACTTATGTTTGCTTTACTTTTTAAATCTTTAAAAAAATCCTGGATGGGTACCAGATTGCTAGAGTTTGGAGGAATTAGGCTTGTGATCAACCAGTCAATTGTCCCTGTGGATTTGGAGTCTTCGCCTGAAGATCGAAGTTGTCTTTCTGTGGTCTATACTCTGAGGTTATAATCTTTATACTAATACGCTATGTATTTAAGCATTGTCTTTTGATATTACCCTTATTTGTAGCTATATGTGAGATTTGACTTCTTGGGCTCACATATGGTGTGCATCTGGTTTTGTTCTTGAAACCGGGTGCTACATGGGGCTATGCAAAAGTATATAAAAAATGGACACAAAGAGGTCTGAGTAAAAAAAGAAAAGAAAAGAAAAAAAGAAAGATGACAATAAAGATAGCCCATGTTCTCACAAAAATATTTCAAGTTTCAATAAGAGAGAGATATGTTTCAAGGAGCATAGTAGAATTAGGTTACCACCATGTATATATCAACCATATATCCACACACATGTATTTCTTGATTTCATTGTATGACATTTTTCTCTTTGGATCCGAGGTTTGACTTTACAATATATGCAGAGCAAGTATGTACATGCTTTCTCCCTACCTATAAACTCCACAAAAACCTTAGTTGTAGGAAAAAAGAAGGCAACAACAAGTTATGCCTTGGCGAGGATCCAAAAATACCACATATAAGAGACTTCAGAAGTGAGGATCCAAAAATACCACATAATATTGCGATCTGAGAGTGTCATACAATGGAATCTCTAAGTTTTATTTTGAAAATTTATAAAACCTCTGGAATAAGGTTGAGCAAAAGACTTGAGACATAATGCTTGACTTGATCATTCTGTCTTTCAATTACTCAAGACCTAAGTGAAGGCTAAGAAGCCCCATTCAAGTTAAAGGTAATATGGGTGAGTTTGAAAGTTAGATCAGTTTATTTCAATCCGAAGGCGAATTTTTTATTGAATGCTTGTGTACCTTTGAGGAGTGAAAACATTGTAGCAACTCCTAATCCAATGCTTAAGTTTAGTTTTGCTAAGGGACTAACAAAGGTTAAGCTTGGGGGAGCCTCTTGATGGTCGTTAATGTCAACTATAAACCATTAATATAAGATCAATTAACATAAAAAGTAATCACAAAGCAACAACTTATGTTATGATTTCACTTGGTTCCACTTGTACTTGGAGAATTATGCTTGCAGGATAAATATAGTGAAAATTATGCAAAAGGAGGCCATCTAGAGGATCAACGGATTCTGATTCACTTTACAGGATCAATGGGCCCACTGTTATACACTTCAAGTAAGCAAACCAACGTCAACAAGTGATCTACCTTGCGAAAACCCACTCTAGATGGAGTATAAGACCAACCTGTCAGAGGGGTGTCCCACCTGCATTAGAGGGGGTCGGCCGACCCCACCCCTAGGTCGAACGACCTATGACAGGTGGCCCCGCTTCTCTACTGCCGCATGTATGACTCCAAGATCTCCACCCTTGATTTTGAGGCGGTTTTAAGTCGGTTTATCTGATGGTGGACGAGAAAAGGGTCGTGGATTGATGACATGGCGCTGGCTTGGCCCCTACTCCATCTCCTCCTATAAAAGGACCCCCAAAGGCTCCTCAGAAAGGCATCTCAATTGAAGAGAAGAATACTCCTTTGTAGTAGGCTCTGTTCTTGTATACATAGAAAATAGTGAGATAGAGAGTGAGGGAGAAATTAGGAGAAAGTGCTGACCTGTCGGTGCTCTCTCTTCAGCTTGTGCCTTGGCGGATTTAAGCTCTTCTCGGGTTTACATCTGAGACATCTCTGGTAATTGATTTCTAATCCTCAATTAGTTTAGTGCTCTTTTGTTTATCAGGATCACGACTCATTTGAGTGCTTTAATCCTTGTTAAGCACTTGGGTTAAAGTGGTAATTGTTAGTGTAAGCGTGGCGCTTAGACTTCTGGTTATTCGTGGATGCACCCTACATTCCAAAAATGGTAGATCGTCGGGAGTGACAGTCTCATAGACCTCTGTATTCCACTTTCCGTCTATAGGCCTAGCAGGACCTGTGTTGCGACGGTAGAATTATACCCTGTTATGATTCTTCCTTAGTAATGTTCCCAGGTAGACACTAGAATACAACGCTATGCTAAGTTAGAAGTTAAAACCTTAGAAGTTCTCTCTATGCTCCTGTTTATCCTTAACCTTATTTCTATCCCTGGTTAAGTTAGTTTGAAGTTAATCACACACATTTCTCTGTGGATACGATACTTATAATACTCATTCAAAAAGCTACATCGATATATGTGCGCTTGTGGATTTTTCTGCGTGCCACCACAGGTATCAACAGCTGGGAGCTGAAAAAATTTGCTTCTCCTAATTCTGTGAAGTGATTCTCCATTAAAAAATCAAAGAGAATGAGTATCAGCCATAGAAACCCCTCTCTTAGAGAACCAGCTTCCATAGAGAATCAGAATCAGATGCAGCTTTACCAAACTGGCCCAAAGTCTCCTACCCACTTCTTGTCCGGTCCCTTAGATGTGTTTAAAATCCAATTTATTGCTTCTAACACTACACTAGAACACACAATTACTACTGTACCAGCACTGCCATTTGTGCTGGATCTAGAAAATTGTCAGGACGGTAGTCACCTGGCAGTGATGTAATCTGTCACTGCCGGCTCAAACCACCACCCGACAGTGATATATCACTGCTCGATCAAGCTATAAACCTGCAGTGATAGAGTAAAGCCACTACTCGGTAGTGACATTTTCATATCACTGCTGGTTTTCTTACTGACCCATCAGTATTTCTTTTGGCCATTGGATCTACCTAACTCTCAATTCACTGATTCTCCATTATTCATCCTACTTACCACTGTTGCTTCCAGTTATAAAATATGTGCCCGGATGCCTCCACGGACAAAGGAGAGGCTAGCTTAGCTAGTTCTCCTGCCTGTGTGTCAGCCACTTGTGTATAGCCTCAACATTTGTGTTCTCTATGGGAGAAAGGTATCCACATACACTTTTCATTTTGTAGTCAAGATGATGCACGAGAGGTACTAGAAGAATGTGAAGATAGAGCCACACCAAAGCCAGGGCGACCTAGTAGCAATATAATGCTACTCGGTGCCCCAATAGGTTGTTGGCCTACGTTCAGCCAGCGGAGGCCAATTGCTCATCACAGCTTCAACAGTTGTTGGTCTGTGTTGAGCCATCAATGATCACATGCTCATCATGGGCTACAAACCATTATACACCCTGGTTGGCTCTATCCACACCATCTCGCATGCTCTTACACCTCTGAGACCCCACTCTTGTGCTAGAAGAATGTTCGTGAGGTGGTTATATTATAATGTGTTTGTAGACTTCAATTGTAACATTGACTTAGTTTGTAAAAGGTTGTATGTTTGCAGTCTTTGTACTATGTTTATAGACTTCAAATGATTCATTATTTTCTATAGTTTAAATTAATTTTTGCATGCCTAGCGTCACTGCAGGTTTAGAAATTGGATAGGCAAAATATAGACAATCGAGATATAAACTTTGATGTGACACAATATAGACATTATGAATTAGAATTGCAGGCAAAATCTATAACTGAACATTTTTAGAGTCTAGATATAATGTAGACAATCCCAATTAGCACTAAACAAACTATAACTAGAACACTTCAACAGAACAAGGATTTCTACTCCAATTCTAACTAAAGAGACAAATTCTTCGTGAGTTCTTCATCCATGGGCTTCTTCTAATTCACCTCTCCATGCATAGGTTGCACTCTCAGCCTATCAGCCAAAGTTTTTAGCATCTCAACATATTCTTGCTATTAGTACCAGCATGAGCATCCACTACCATCGCACTAAAACAACACCAAAACATGAACTTGGAATCAAAATCATCACAAAGAAATGGCCATAAATCATAGAAAACGAGACCAACAAGACCTAACCTTGTGATCCGGACACTTGTAGAAGATGCAGCAATAGTTGGGATCTTCCTTCTTCACCCTAAACTCTAACACAGTGTGCTGCTTATATTTATTGCACGTAATGAGACGGAGCTCCAGTCTGAGTCGTAAACTCCATGTGAGGGTGAGGACCTGGACGGGTATGCCATCTATAAGGCAAGGACTGGCTGCAACAATGGCGACAAGGACAAGAGATTGGTGATGAATGGGCCAGGAACTGGTTAAACCAAGTACACATCCAGCAAAATAAAGGCTTGGACCAGATATCATTACCGGTTCAAAACATCACCAGATAGTGATCCTAGAGCATCACTGCCGGTTGAATCATTGACCCAATAGTGATATTAGAACATCACTGATGGGTGAAGTTTTAAACCGGCAGTGATAGTGGAGCAACGCTGCCGGGTGAAGCTTTGACCGAGCAATGAAAGACATTTATCGAATTGTCTTTTCAATCAAAGAGACATTGCATCACAATTACACGATTTGGGAAATGACTCTAGCACAATTACATAGACACAATATAGAATATCTCTTCATGACTAAAATAGTGTATGTACACAAGGAAAACTAATGTAGGAGCCTTCCAGTGCCCCCACCTGGGATCGAAACCTGGTCACCGGCTTGAGGGCTGGCTTATGTTGTAGTATAGAATCTCCATATGCATATGTTTCTTTGTAATACTTAAGATGTCACATTATCTTGTATTACTACAAGATAGGAGTACTATTTATCACGTCTTTACAGTATATTAATACAAAACAGGCACTACTTGGTACAGCTATAATAACATATAGTTTTGTGTTTCTATGAAATTTCTTTGTAACACATTGATGAATGTTGAATGTGTTGCATACATGTGTTGTAATATGTATGTTTTGTTGTAATACTGGGCGTGGATCAGTGCCCGGTTGGTGGTCGGATGGCCATGAGAGCCTGCATGACTGTGGACAACGCAACCATGGCAGAAATGATGAGTAGAAGTATTTTGACTGGGCTGTTGATGTAGTTCTTCACCTCTGCCAAATCACGGTACACATGCAACACTCTGCATCTCCTCAGATCTCTCAGCACATTGTCAATGGGGGTCGATCCGCTGCGCCGGTTCCACACACACAAGTTCTTGAAGTAATTGATGACCTGCCATAAACATATAGAAAAGTAAAATTTAGTCACCTAACACTTCCTATATTTATCCAAACTTTAAGTACTTCCTGCTTCGTCCAAAAGTTCACTTTTTGGGAAATATGGAGTACTCAAAATTTGTCCCATAGATAATACTAAAATCTTGACAGGACCTATAATTAAAGCCATCTAAACCGTGCATGCGGTTGGCCAATTGATGAGCTTCTTTTGTTTTGTAATGCACACGCAATTAATTGCCTTGGTTAACCAAGTGTCAGAGCGGATAGGAAAGAGTGCCACTAATATGAGGCACTCCCAACGCAGACTTTTTTTTTGCAAATTACACAAGTACATATGCATACGCTCAACACGCACGCACACTCACCCCTATAAACACACGTACGCAAACCCTACCCCTATGCGCACCTCTGAAAGACTGTGCCGGCACATCTCGAGATTGACGAAGTCACCAGAGGCACCTCGCTATCGACAGGAACATCGCCTACCACTGAAAGCATAACGCCGTTAAATCCTAAAATAAATCACGAACACCCGTACCAAGTCGAGGACTTAAACCCGGGTGGGTAGGTTCCACCACAAGGAACCTAATCAACTGAGTTACGCTCAGTACGCTCCCAACGCAGACTCTACAGTAGCTTCTATGTCTATTTATTACCCCTCTATTTATTGAACTTTGCTGATGTGGCAGTATATTTATTGAGGAGAGAAGAGCAAAAACTAAGAAACCGAGTCTAAACTATCGATGCGGAAGAAATCTGCAACTACGGCGTTGGGTAAGTACTGTGTGGTTTCTATCGAGCTTTTCAGATCCAGTGCGCCCTCCCCTTCACTCCCCATCGCCGCCATGGCCCTCCCCTTCACTCCCCATCGCTGCCATGGAGCCCTGCCTCAACACATGCCTCCACACGCACGACCATCTCTTCCCCCGCACCGACGGCGGCCCCTTCCTCTCTCCGGTGCCCTCGGCCACGGCCCCCTCCCTCTCGTCGATGCCCCCGGCGGCGGCATGGCCCGGCTCGCGCGGAAGGTGCCCCTCGATAGCGGCACAACCCAGCCGCATGCAGATGGCAGCCCTGCACATAGACGACGAGACGCAGCCACGCACAGCAAGTTGACCTCCGTCGGAGCTCGCGGCCGCCTGACAGACTCGCTTGGGCCTGTGCCCTTGTTCGCCCGCGCGCCACCGCTCGCGCCCCACCGGAGCTCTCCGTGTTCGCCCGCCGAGGTCATGCTTCGCTCCTGCACATGGCTTCATGCCGTAAAGAAGCCATAGAGGATCCGGGTATAGCAGAGAGATTGATTGGTTGATTTTTATCTGGATTCTAATGAAAAAAGTTCGCATTGGGAAGAATAGTTTCTTGGTACAATATCCTAGGCTATGGAAACTATGAGTAGTTTCTTGCATTGTTAGTAGCCTGAGTAATTTGTTCATTAGAGTTCCATTGTTGTTTATTGAATAATAATATATCAGCAAAAATGGTGACATAACAAGGAAATTATGAAGGGAGCACTATTGGAATCTCAAGCTTTGCCGAGTGCCTGCGGCACTCGGCAAAGCCCGAAATATACTCGGCAAAGGGCACTCAGCAAAAAATTAATCGGCAAAGAAGCCTTTGCCGAGTGCTTTTTGTCGGGCACTCGGCAAAGCCTTTGCCGAGTGCCGGAAAAGCACTCGGCAAAGATTTACACTCGGCAAAATAAAAATGCAAAAAAACCCAAAAATAATAGCAAAAAAAATTTCGGGGGAGGCCGCCACCGGCCAGCGCCCGCCTGTCTCCATCGAAGTCGCTGCATTTTTTGCGCAAAATTTGTGGCTAACGCGGCCGGCGGGATTCGAACTCACGACCTCTCCATCACGTGTCTGCTGCTCTACCACTGCACTACACTATCACTTGTGTCTAGATTCCATTATCTATCCTCATATATTATACTAAACCGAGACTAAATTGCTTGTTTGAGCCCATAAATGAATTCAAATCAAAATGTGGTCAACTACAAAGTTTCATAACTTTTCGATATCTACAATTTTTATTTAGGAAGTTTTTCCATCCGAGGTCGTTTGAAAAATTCGAATTTCAAATTTGAGAGATTCAAACGTAGTTTTGCATGATAAGATGATTTCAAATCAAAAAGTTGTCCACTACATAGTTTTATAACTTTTGGAGATCTACAATTTTCATTTAGGAAGTTTTTCCATCCGAGGTCTTTTAAAAAATTCAAATTTTAAAATTTTTAAATTCAAACATCGTTTTTGCATGACAAGATGATTTTAAATCAAAATGTTGCCAACTACAAAATTTCATAACCTCTCAAGATCTACAAAGTTTATTTTGGTCATTTATTCATCCGATATAGTGGTAGTAACATTGTTCACAAATTTTATATATCTCTCTTCTACTTTCATGAAACTAATGAGAGATATGAAAGATGTAGATTTTATGAACAACATTATTGTCGCTTTGTCAAATGAAGAAATGACCAAAATAAACTTTGTAGATCTTGAGAAGTTATACAACTTTATAGTTGAAAAGTTTTTCATTTGAATTCATTTAGGGCCTCAAAAATTGCTTTGAAAAAATGATTTGCCGAGGGCAAAAAAAAATGCACACGGCAAAATGCCTCTTTACCGAGTGCCTGGCACTCGGCAAAATACATCTTTGCCGAGTGCCAGAAAAAAGGCACTCGACAAAGACGCATTTTGCCGAGTGCCGAAAAATGACACTCGACAAAATACATTTTTGCCGAGTGCCGAAAAAAAACACTCGGCAAAGCCATCTTTGTCGAGTTTTTTTTTTTTTTTTTGCCGAGTGTTTTTGCCGAGTCTCCACTACTGGAATCTCAAGCTTTACGTTGGAAATGAGATCGTCTTTGCCGAGTGCCCAATAAAATAGACTCGGCAAAGCCTCCGGCACTCGGCAAAGCTTGAGATTCCAGTAGCGGAGACTAGAGATGAGTTTCATCTGATGCATGAAACCCCGCGCATCTCATTTCCAACGCATTGGAAAAGTGAAACTCCACTGAGAGCATTTCATTTCATCCCACGAGTTAAAAACCAAGTGAAACTCGACTGTAAGTATATTTCATAACACCGGTTGTACGATGTTATGAAATATACTCCCAGTGGAGTTTCATTGCATTGCATTATAGACGAGCGAGGTAAACAGTGAAATGAAATTGCAGGCTGACCTTTTTATCGCTTCCAAAGTTGTTGTGCAGTATGCGGAGATCCTGCAGCAGGGTGATGTCCTCCCGCGTGCTGACGAGGTTGTACATGAGGAAGGCGTACGTGGTGCAGTAGTCGCCGCCGTCGTCGGCGCCCACCTGCTGCTCGAACGCGATGAGGTTCTGCAGCAGCGGCGCCGTGGTCTGCTCCACGTACAGCGGCGGGATCTCGAGCCTCACGCGGTCCTCCATGAAGCGCACGTCGAGCAGCGCCCCGCCGTGGTGAGGCCCAGGCCCCGTCGTCGTCGTCGTCGTCCTCGTGATCCAGATGCCCATGGCCTTCAGCTCCGCCGCCGACGGGACGTTCTCCATGCTGTGACCGTCGAGTTTAGTGTCGCCCGGGCCGTGCTCATAGCCGAGCATGCACAGGCACCGCAGCAGCCTCATCATCCGGATCGGCAGGGCAGAGGCACAGCCCCGCAGGTCTCTCTCCGGGGGCCGTCGGCGCCTCTGCGCGGTGTCGAGCTGGGCACAGTGTGCCACGTGGAGCAGGTGCAGCAGGTGGTCGACCGGCACCTCGGGGTCCACGCCCAGCTCATCCGTGGGCCTCTTCCCCGGGGGCAAGGACAAGGGCCCTCTGAGCATGTACCAGAGCGCCATGTCCAGCAGCCTGCGCCTCTTCTTCTTCTCGTCAGCGCTGCGCGGCAGGAGGTCCCGTGGCGCCAGGTGGTCGAACAGCGCCAGCAGCACAGCGAAGGGGATCTGGTTCTCGAGCAAGGTGAGGTCGCTGCGCAGCTGTGCCGGTACCCACCTCGACTGGTGCAGCTCCTTTTCGTTGATGCCGAGCGCATAGTCGCACAGGTGCTTGAGGATGAAGCACCCATCCAGGAACATCATCTTCACCCACGTTTCTTTCGTCATGTCCGCGGCCTCTATTAGACTAAGATCGGCATAGAACCTAAACAAGGATATTACGTGCGCAACAGATAAATAGCAAAAGTCAATATCGTAAGAACAAGTACGGTGGTAAAATCTAAAATATTTGGTGTGGGGCTATTGGATTTCAATCACGAAAACAAAGTTAATTCTCAAGACCGCGTAATAAAACTATTCTTTGGGAATGTAACTACACTTAGGGCACATTTGGCTCCTTTCATTTTAGAGGAATTGGAATTAACTTTATGAAATATGTTATTTGGTTTGGAATTTGACATTCCAACAACTTTTCAAAATTTAAATATAAGCATGTCTTAAATTCGTGGGGTAAGAGATATAAAAATGGACCCCTATCCTTAATGGACGACACGCACGTTGTGTCCAAATATATCAATTCCATGTATAAATATGGCCCTACAAACCATTGCTTTATCAAGATCTGTTGAGCAGCCGAGTGATTAATTTATGGTACACGTGTTGTGTCGTCGATCAAGGATAGGGTCCGTGTGGGAGAATTGGACCCCAGGTCCACGCAATTTAATTCGTAATTTACTAGTTTCTACGCGTGTTGGAGGAAGCACCGAAATCGTTTCTTTTCTTCTGTCGTCTTATTAATTCACTTGCCACATCATATTATTACCGACGTGGCATAGTCATTTAATGCTATGGAAACCATCTCGTTTTAGACTGTGCTTTCATCATTTGGAGACTGATTCAGTTCGAAAGCAGGTTTACAATTTTGTATGTAACCATGAGAATTTATTCAATGCGTTTGAGGGGTGCTTATTTCAATCTCATATGCTAGTAGTTACTGAGCAACTAGTAAAACTTAGGTGGTGAGGATCCAAACACCTAACAATATATGTAGATAAGTTTTAATGAACAATTAACCCATTAGCTTCACAAACCTAGCCAAAAGCAATTAATAGTTGGTTAGCCAGCTGCAGCACAAATGTCACCAAAGTATTAGCACATTAACCATCTTGTGCAAACATCCTCTAGCAAAGTTTTAGCTAATATAGCTAAAAATTAGAACACAAAGCAAAGCCTAATTACACTAATACAGAAATGATTTTTAGAGTCGCCTCTCTTCTCTAAAAGAGGCGGTTTTCTTAGCATGCCGTCTCTAACCTTCGCGGAAGGCACTGTAGCTTCATGGCCGTTGCTGGAAATCAATTTTTAAGAGCGGTCCCAAGGGCTCGGCCTTGCCCCCAACACCTCTCACATTGGCGGAGCTATATACGACATGTAGGCCATGACCCACCTGCCAATTGAAAATTCCTTCAATCAGCCACTAATTGATGCTTAGAATTAGTAAAATATGCATATTAAACAATATATTAGCACCGATGGCCTCCTTTTTCTTTTCCTTGGAGCTCCGCCAATGGCCTCTCAGCTAAGCCTGCTAATGGGTCGAGTAATAATTGGAGTTTTCGGGTTGGATTGTGCCATGGAACTGTTTGGATGAGTGGTAATGGGTTTAGTGGTTAAACAGGTTGGAATGGGTTGGGTTTGCTAGCAAATCGGGTTGGAATGGGTCAAATTTTCCCCAATCTTCCCATCACATCCAGTTGCACGACGGCCGGACCTCACCGAGCCTTGGCCCGCGGGGAGTCGGCGGAGAGGAGCTGCTGCATGTGCATGAGGCTGCGCGGCGACATGTGCTCATCGGCAGGCCCGTCCTATAGGGGGGGGCAGCCTGTGCGATGCCCATGGGCCCATGAGGCTGGGGGTCCATGAGGGTACCCATGTGTATACTGTATAGTAGATGCTATCAGCCCATACGCCGGCAAGACAACAGTGCGTTATAGTAACACGATCTGCTAACCGATCTGCTATCTATCTTAGTGTGTATATTGTCTTAGTGTCTTACTGGCCTAGGGGCCCATGATCTGCTAACAGTGCGTTGTACCCATGTGTATTCTTAGTGTCTTACTGCCCAAAGGCCCATGAAATTTATGGGACGGCCCTGCTCGTCGGCGGCCGTCCACGCCCGCATCCCGGGCATGGGCACGAAGAAGGACAGGTCTGCACGGGGGCGGCGACAGGCCTGGAAGAGGCGCGCTGCACGGCGGCAGCGGCCTGCACGCGGCGCCCCGGCCCACCTCCTCCTGCCCCGGCACCGTGTGCACCCGGCGCCTCTTGGCCTCCTGCCCCGTCCACGCGGCCACGACCGCAAGCTCAGACGGTGCCGCTGACGTCGCCGCCACCTCGAGCTCCCCACGCGCCCGTCGCCACCGCCGCCACCTTCGTCGACCAACCAGCCAGCCGATTGACAACCGCAGGGAAAAAAGGGCCACGGTAGCAGATGACTATAAGCAGGAGCCGGAGAGGAGTGACCAGGACGAGGAGAATGGAGGAGGCAGCGAAATCGTTGGCTGCCTGCCATCGCGGCCTGAGCAAGCAGAAGCCATGGCAAACCTACGCTAGAAGTTCCTTAAGTTAATTTGGAATGGGGTGGGGTGGAGATGAAAAACCTACGTTCTGCGTCACTGATAGCCTGAGAGATGGATGCAGTTTGCAAATACACCACCCACCGCGCGCGCACACACACAACCCACCCAATCAGGGCAGGGACATGGCCATTGGGCCCCCAAGTGCTCCTAAGTCCGACTCTGAGGCCTTGTTTGGGACGGCAACGCGGCTCCAAGACCGCATTTTGGGAATCGCGGACTCTAGCTCATTTTCTCGCCGTTCCACGCCCCGCGCGACTGATTATTTCACTCTTCTTGCTCAAGAAACGAATAGGGCCTAATCAACGTACGCCTGGGTAAAGCTCTTTATGGCCGTTTTTCTTTTCTTCATTTCTTATCACACCATTGATCATTATTTATGTTGCCTAAACAACCAACATAACTAAAAAAGGGGAAATCCAAGGAACAACTCATATCAAAACAATCATTCTTTTAACCAAGAATGTGCACATTTTTTTTTTGCGAAACCCAGTACAAACGCAGGCACTTACATACACGCACGCGACCTCACTCTTATGAATGCACGTTACCCTACCCCTATGAGCACCCCTGAGAGACTGAGCTGGGCTGACAGATGTCGAGATTGATGAAGTCACCACATGCGTCTTACTGTCGACGAGCACGTCGTCGCCTACTACCGAAAGAATAGTGTCGTTAAATCCTAAAGGGGCTCTTGCGTTTGTACCCTTGTTTTGTATCGAAATTGTGATTTTGCCCCTATTTTTTTGACTTTGTGAATTTACCCCTACTGTGCCGTTCACGAAGCACCAGTTTGCCCCTGCTCCGTCATCCACCCCTAACGGTGTTAAACTTTGTACAAAAGGACATGAATGCCCATGCGATTTTGCCCCTGTTTGTTATGCCTAATTGTGATTTTACCCTGATTTGAAATTAGACTTTTTTATTATATGCTGACAATTGATTAAATTTGGTCAAACATATTTGGCACAACTTGCAATTATTTGAACTCTGATTTAATATTGATAAATATTCAAATTTTGGGACCAAAAGGTTCATAATGATGACAGATGTAACGAGTCGTGTGCACGAGCCGGCAGGTCGGCCACGTGGTGGCTCCTCGCCGTCGGCGTGGGCGCGGGAGGGCGACGGCTCCGGGTCGTAGGCAGCACCAGCACGAGGGAGGAGGAGCGGCGCCATCCGACAGAGATATATACCAAACTGGTAGAGTTATATACCAAGAATTCGATCTCTGCCCTTGAACCAAGCTGGTAGAGTTATATACCAAGAACAAATTTGATTAGGGTCGACTAAAATTTTTACATGCAAAATTCAGAGAAATTTGGCAAAGAACAGAGCTACTCCAATCAAACACAAGGCTCTGCTGAACTTGTTAGCTTGCTGCTCTGCTGGCCTGAATCAAACACAGTTCTTTTTGTTTCTCCATTTCTGTCAAAATTGAACAAGCATCCTCTAGTCGCCGTGCTTTAATGTACATCCTCACAATGACACTGTAAGCAATCATATCAAGTACAGAAGCTGAAGCCTTCAGTTCAAGGTAAATAGCTTCAGCATCGGCAAACCTCTCCATCATGCAGAAAACATCAATCATTGTGCAAGAAATACGGGGATTTGGATGTGTTTCAGACTTAAGCATCTGATTGTATATCCTAACAGCATCATTGTAACTGCGTGGGGAGGAGCGGAGGAAGGAGGGGAGGAGGCGGCGCGGAGACACGCCGCCAGGCGCCACCAGGAGCCGCGTCCAGGCACCGGAGCCGCCCGTTCCGCCCGCCCCTGCAGCCACGAAGCCAGGCGGCCAGAGGAAGAAGACGACCCGCGGCCGGGCACCGCTGGGACCTGCGGGCAGACGCCGCCGGTGAGCCGGGGCAGGGCGCCGCCGCCGCCGCCCGGCGCGCGCACGCCGACCCGCGGGCGGGCGCCGTGGCCACCCGCGCCTAGAGGAAGGTCGCGCCCGCACCTTGGAGCCGCGACCGGGAGGCAGCCCCGCGCCCTGGAAGCAGCCCCTCCCTACGGCCGAACCTGGAGTCGTGGCCTCCCCTGCCCGATGTGAGCGACGACACCCTATGCGTTTGGGACGAGGAGATAAGGATAAGGGGCACTATAGTCATTTGGTCTTTGTTTTTCAGATTTAGAATTTTTTAATTCGTTTAATCCATGTCCATCTCACGGACGTCAGAAGTAGGGGCAAACGGACCTTTCAGTTCAAAATAACAAGGGTAAAAATACAAAGTTAAAAAAGTAAGGGCAAAATCACAATTAGCTTACTGGACAGGGGTAAGAACACAATTTTCCCAATCCTAAAATAAATCCAGAAACATACGTGCACCGAGGCCAAGACGAGACTTAAACCCTGGTTGGCACATTCCACACTACCACATCCCTAACTTAACGTCCCATAGGGGTGTTAAAAATACCGTTGGAAGGTCAGACATTAAAGATTTCTAACGGAAGGACGGTCGTTATATCTCGTTTTCGCAATAGATTGCCGTTCAGTCATTTTATTTTGCTTTAACATTGGACGGTTTGTTG